TAAACCAACAAAATTCCGTTAGATAGCGAGATAATAGCAAATTTTTAAATTCCATTGCTTCCACAATTTTACTTTTACCTCCATAAAAGGATAATTTAACGTCTTGAGAAAGAGAGCAGGAAATTGCGTGATTGGATTTTGCTTCTTTCACAGGTACCAAACCTCAACATCCTCTCTTTCTCTATCTAAAATCTCCAAAATTTTGCTGGAATCGCGATTTCTCAAAGTTAATGCTATTTTTTCTTTCTGAGATGAAATTGATATCAGAATTCAAATCGGTAATTTAATCAATACAAGATTTTTATTGTTGTTCCTCTGATTATGATGGGTTTGCTGTATTGATTGGATTTGAAAATTTATTGAAGGTGAGGACTACTGTAGTAAATTTTCTAGGGTTTTCTTGGGCTTTTTTTTTTTTTTTAAAGAACGATCTTGTAGATGAACTCTTAGGGAGCGTAATTTACTATTTTGGATTTTTTAAAATATATTTATTTAGAATATTTGTTGAGCTCAATCTGGAAATGAAGAATTTTAGAAATTGAAGGACAAGATTAAGAAATTCTCGTAACTTATCTTCTACAAAAATCTCTCCCCATCTAAATAATATAAATCCGGATTCTCGTATGTTACCCTCTGTGGCAAATTCTTGGGCCTTTTCATTTCTGTGATAAATCAGATTGACTAATGTTAAGGGCTTTGTTTCTAAAAGGATTTTGTAGATAAACGTTGACTTAATTTGATCTTATTTTGAATTTTAATTTAGCATATTTGATTTAGCTCAATCTGGAAATGAATGATCTGGAAATCGGAAGTGTATTAGAAGATGAGTTATGTTCATTTTTTGATCTTGTCCTTTATTCTAAAATAACAATTGTTGCAAATCATGATGCAGAATTTACTAGGTTTAACTTGATGTGGAAATGAATTAATTATCTTTCACAATAGGGCTTTAAAGAAATGGGGACACTGTTCGGAATCCTTTTATTTATGGGGAAATCTTGTTAGGGAAAGAAATAAAAAAATAAAAAAATGAATTTGTTTGCTTTGAATTTTGATTAATTTTGGTATCATGCAATAAATTGGAAGATGTGGACTGTTATATGATTCAATTTTGTATCCTTTCTCGTGATTTTGTGGGTGCAGGAGCAGATGGCAAGAAGAGGCAGTGTTAAATACAAACGCAATACCAGGTGCTGTGATCAATTGGATGGCAAAGGCTTGGATGACTCAGACGAAGATTACGAGATAGGTGAAGATGATGAGTTCAATGAATCAGAGGATGAATATTGTTCTTCTCTTGCTGAGGATGAATCAGAAGAGGGTCTAGGCGAATTCAAGGAGGAAGAAGAGGATGAATGGGTAGAAAAGAAGGTCAAGTTCATTCAAAGACCTGGAGGTCAAAAGGGTTTTCAAGGGAAAAAGAAAAATGGGAGTTTGAAGCGAAAAAGGAAAAAGGTGGTCGTATATAGTGAAGAAGAAGAGGATGATGATTCAGATAATGATTTTGCTAGCACAAAAGGAAGAAAGAAAAAGAGGGTGTCATATAATGAAGAGGAAGAAGAAGAGGATGTCATTGAGGTTTCATATAGAGAATCATACAACGATCAGAGGCCTGGAAAGAAAACTTTGGTTTCTTATAAAGAAGATAATGATGATTTTGATGATGAGATTTCCAGAAAGAAAACTAAGTTTTTAGATAAAGAAGAAAAGGAAAATGTCTCTTATGATGATGATGATGATGATTTTCTACCAGATGAGATTGATGGTATAGATGATGAAGAAGAGTCACCTGTTACTACGAAGAATAAGATGGGGAGGGTGAGTATGGAAGAGAGAGGCATTGTCACAGGACGAAGGAAGAGTAGGAATGCTAAAGTTATGAAGAAGACCAAAAGAAAGAAATCAATAAAGAAACAAGGATCAAGGAGAAACGTGAGATCTGACTGTGGTAATGAGTTTAGAGATGATAGCCCGACTCTGCAAAAACAGAAGTTCACTGAACGGGGAAGATCTTGGAGGAAATCAGCTTTGAATTCCGATTCTGATTTTGTGAGTCCGGGATCATCTGATCATGAATACACCATTTCTGAGGAAGAGAGAGAACAGATTAGAGAAGCTAGTGAATTTTGCAGGAGTTTGAGGAGTTCAAATTCGAAGATGATAGAACAGAACTTCATTCTGCCTCCTCAACGGAAACGTGCAGTAAGGAAGGGGAAGGGGAAGGGGAAGGTAGAAGGTATAGAAGTTGAAGTAGGGAAGCAGGTTTGTGGGATTTGTCTGTCTGAAGAAGGGAAAAGAACAGTCAGGGGAACATTGAACTGTTGCAGTCATTACTTCTGTTTTGCTTGCATCGTAGAGTGGGCAAAAGTGGAATCCCGTTGCCCCCTCTGCAAGCAAAGGTTTTCTACTATCAGTAGGACTGCACGAGCAGATGCAGGGCTTGGTTTGAGGACTCAGGTGACTACAGTTCCAGAACGTGATCAGGTATTTTTTTGAATAAATCCTTTTTTAGTTTTTGGAAGCAAAAGGATGCCTTTTTTTCTCTGTTTTTGTATCTTTTAATTACCTATGTCCCACTATTTTTATGTGCAGGTTTATCAACCATCCGAGGAAGAGCGCAGGGGCTATCTTGATCCCTATGAGAATGTGCTATGTATCGAGTGTCAACAAGGTGGGGATGATGCACTTATGCTACTTTGTGATCTCTGCGATTCACCAGCGCACACTTATTGTGTTGGTCTTGGACGTGAAGTGCCTGAAGGTAATTGGTATTGTGATGGATGTAGGCCAACTGCTCTTGCTTCATCTGGTGCACAAGGTTTGAATCCTAACGTTGATCGCGGAGCAAGTAACAACTTGTCTGTAGGATCATCCTATGTTGCCAGTGCGCGGGAAACTTTTGACCTCAATGAGTTGTATGTACCTGATACCCAATTGACTCAAGGAACTGAGCAATCTCTGTCTCCTAGACATTCTGTTGGAAATTTTCAAGCTGATTCTCCAGCTTCGGGAGCTGGGGCAGCTACGGTATTAGAAAGGCGCAGAATACAACGTCAGATATACCAATTTCTTAATTACAGAAGTAGACAATCTGACAGAACTGATGGGATGGCCACAGTTTCAGGGAATGGTCCATTTGGTACTCAAGTTGGTGGAGGTAGGGAATTAGTACCTGGATATACAGTTACTCCCACGAGGATTGCACCAAGAAATATATATCTTCAGGGAAGCTTACTGGACAATACAACACTACCCTTGCATCCTAGGGAGGTTTTTTCTCCAAGATTCAGTAATTTGAGGGGGCAATCACTTCACGATCAAGCTTCTACATCTGCTGATCATTCATTAGGCGTAAGGGCACATAGTGAATTTATTGGAATCAATAGAAGGTTTGGATTAGGACAGGGTCATCAACAACTCCATCCTTGCAGTGGCAGATCAGACATCAGTACTGACGTTAGTATTCCAAACCGATTAGAGAGGTGAGCGACTCTCTCATAGAAAAGGTACAAGTGCAACCAATGGTTAGAATTCACTTAAAAGGCTTGTGGATATGGAGTTGGGTGATTTAACGTTTAAATTTTAGTCATAAATTGCACTTGGCTTAACAAATATTCAGGAAAATGTCATGCAACTGTAAAGAGTAAGATGCAGATTATAATCACTCTTGTTATCCTGAACCTAAACAATTTTTATAAATCAGTAATTGGCTTTTGCCATGTGGATTTGACTGAAACATAATTTTGCATTGCACATGGCACTAGAAGCCTAGAACTGGGATGCACTTTCATGAGCATTGCCACTGGTGGGTTATTACTATTTCGTTTGTTTTCAAGCAATGGTACAATGTTATTGTATACCTTGTTCTTCAGTTTCATCAGATGCCTTCAAATGAAGTTTTTTGGAATAAACAAATCACTAAATTCTCCTCTATAATGAATTTGACTAGGAAGCTATTTATATTGATGCAGGCAACAGCACCTTCAAGGACGTTGCAAGGATCTCTACACACACCATTTTAGCCAACACAATCTGTAACCACTTTGAGAGAATGGCTGATGGACGAATATGTCCAATGAGAGGTCAATACTCTTTTTATTTTAATATATTATTTCTAATGAACACGCGAATTCCCTCTTATCCAAGAATTATTGCAATTGCATGAGGTTGGCACCAGCTCACCATTCTTTCTGTACACTGATCCCATTGGAGACTGCCCTTTTTGGCTGGATTTCTTGTTCTGTTGTTCACACTTAAATTAGACTTTAAACGGAAAGTTGTTCAAGAAAACCGATTCTTTGTATGTGTTGTCCGGAAAGAGGAGGACTCGATGATTATTCATTCTCTGGAACTGATACCTTTTTTCTTCACATTAGAGATATGACTGACAGAAATGTGACTACTTGTTGCCGTTCATCAATCTGTAGTTATTTACACGATATGGATCCATACACGAATTTCATGGCTATCATCACGTGTAATTTTCCATTGATAAATCTCTCACATTGAACATTTCCTCAAAACCTTATTTTTCATATATCGGCTTTTGCATGACATTTTACTATATCTTTGAACTGTTTCCTTGTTAAGGTGGTTGTATATATCTATCGGCTGTTATAGAGTTGTATGTTGACTAGAACCTACATTGGATTGAGATTCCGGGTAGCTTTTGCTCTGGCAATTGGGTGATCCTTCCTGGAAATATTGGCCCACTTCCTGCCTCAAATACACCGTATTTTATCTTTTGGACTGGAGGATGTCTTCTTTTAGTTGTTTCTCTGGGGTGTGTCTGTTGGATTGGAAGGGTGGCAGGGTGGGGTGGAGTGGGGTGGGGTTCGACCTCAACGGTGTAGGCAGGCATTGGAGTCCTTCAAGAGTGATATGTTGGACTAGGTGGAATTGCTTGTACGTAAATCCTCAATATATTAATAATATAGCTAATATGTTGTGCATAATTTACCTATTAAATGCTAAAAGATTGTTTGTCACATTGATTCTCGAGCAGAAAAATACAACCCTTACTTCATATTGGAAAAAATGGTTTAACTAAAGTAGCAATCTGTCAACTGAGTCAAACATTTGAATCGAGTTTGAATTCAAAGTCAAGTATGATCTCCTCTTGGAAGAAGATATATTCTTTTTCTTTTCGTTAATTTATTTTCAATCACGCATTCTTTCATTAAAATAATTTACTTGTAAACCCAATTTTTGTTTTAGTAATGTTATTTAGCACTACTAACTCCTGTCTAGGTGACAATATTAGTAACATTAATTATATGTTCAATTAAATGCATTACATAATTTCACGTAATTAGACATATCGTATAATGTCACATAGACTTAGGGATGGCAACGGGGCGGGTTCGGGGCGGGGCA